AGAGCAGCCTTCATCATTTGTATGTGGTGTAAACTCAAAAGAGAGGGAGAGAGTTATAGTTAATAGTTAACAGTACACATTTACTGGTTGTAATATATCAATGAAGCTTTGTTAGACAGTAGGTAAATGAGCAATTTAATGAAACGTATCACAATTACCTGTGTAAAAAGAAGACAAATAATCAAAATGTTAATTAACAGTGAAAATAATGACTAAAAATATCCCTATATTAATTATTATGTAAAGAGAAAAATTCTCCTATAATAAAGAGAAGTATACTCTGCCAATACTGTAAACATCTCCTCTCCAGAAAGAAGACAGTATATGTGTTCACTGACGCAACTAACACAACATACTCCAGCACCATAATTGATGTTTACGTTTCTACTGCAATGCATTTCACTTACACACTCCTTTGGATCAGTCTGAAAATTAAAAAAAGAACCAAAAACCAATTAGCGTGCATATTTATTGCTGCACCAACATTATTTCTAAACGTCTGTCTCGGAGGGAAGCCAACCTTTTCTGTTTTCTATTAACAGGTTTTGTTCTGCTCCAATAGTACTTTTCTAAAAGTCAATGCTGGTTCAAGGAGTCCAGAGCAGAAAGTTCTCAAACTTATAAACAGTTCTCACAAGTAGAAATGTACAAAGCACTCAAGGTTGAACAATTATTGCATTACATTTAGAGAATGGACCAGCCGCAGACTGCAACTGGACAATTTGCAGTATTCTTTTTTTGTACCAATACCAGCACCTCTCAAAATTTATTTCGCGGGCTCGCTGTGTCGCAGATATTCTTTGTGCAATTATGCACAAAAAAGGGCAGAGGAAGATGCTAACCATCTCACAAAAAGTTGGACTTCTGGACATGCTAAAGGAAGGCAGAACTTACCGTATTTTGGGGATTATAAGGCGCATTAAGCGAAGCAAAACAGTCAGATAAGTCATACTTTACTCAACGCATTCTTCTTGCTTCCTCTACTTCCATATCATTGATTCGTTAATGTTGAATACTCTCTCAGCTGCTCTATTCCCATGTTCTGGACCTGAAAACAGGGTTTGATCTTTGTTTCATTCTATAATACTGGACTTATTTTTCTACAAAGGTTTGAACTTTAAGGGTGTTTAAACATGAGAGAAAAGTGTGAAAATGTTCATGCCTGTCTGAGAAAAGTGTATAAAGTGTGTAGTGAGGGGTTTTACAGCCTTAAAACATCTATAATAATTGTAAAAAATAAAGCTGGCTACTTCACGGATTTCACCTATCGGGGGTTATTTTTAGAACGTATCTTCCGCTACAAACGAGGGACCACTGTATAGCATCATTTTAAGGCTTTTTTAAATGCAACTTCAATATCTGTAAACTCTTTGCCACCTACCTTGGGACATTACAGTTTTCAAAAATACATCCAAAAGAAATCTAAACTCATAACCATAAGCTACTAAACTGCATCACTCCCATACACACACCAACACACTTCACGCACACCAGGACCCATGACATTCATAAGAGGAAATGAAAAAGAGCTTTGTCCTGTCCTGGGCACTGCCATGCAAGACAGTGATTGTGTTGAGTCAATGTGATTACCTGGGAGTCACTCTCTGGAGGGAAATGCTGCTGAGTTATCACAGTCTTATTATTCCCAAACTAATATCATAGCCTGCCAATCACTTGCTTGCCTTTCTTAACCACATGCTGACAGGTGTGGTGTTGCACACATACTGTATGAGAGGCATAAACACACATAGACAGGAGTACTTTTAAACCGAAATGCATCCATATAGATCTGCACATGGTGAGAAGTAACAGAATGCGCAGAGAATGAATGAATGCACCCAGACACACGTACAATCACTCAACCACACAGGCTGCAAGCCAGCAGACATTCACACGCAAACTTCCTCTAAGGGCCCCAGGGTGAGGAGAATCGTCCTCTTCATCTGAAGTAGGGAGGAAGCCCATTGGCCAAATTAGATTGTGCCATTTCCTGACGGAGTTAAGCATCAATCTGCAGCACTGTGCAGTGATTCGCAGTGACCTTGGCCTATCACAGCACAGTGTCTGGGAATGCTCAGAGAGGCTCTTAATCAGACCTGGAAGACATGGGGCCTATGATGACATTACTCAGCCTTTATCTCTCTACACACGTCCCACTGTTTCTGTGTATGTCTGTCTCCCAATCTGCCTATTCCATTCGTTGCCTCTCAGCTCCAGGATGAGGAGGTGGCTCAAATGGACGCTTACTTAACCTGACCTCTGGATGTAATCCTTGTCCATTGATCCAATTCTACGCTGAGCGTTTGCCCTCACAATGCTGACCAAACACAGAAAACGTTTGCCCTTTCGTATCAAATCTGACCTATTTCACTCATTCCACTCAACAGGTACATCAACAGGTCAGTTTCTGCATCCCGTCCAGAATCCATCCTCAGACAACACATGCATAAAGGACCATCCCTTAAGAAATACACACTCATCCTCAATCCAGGGCTACTGCATGCCTTATGTGAATGATGAGACTGTGCTGAGATGGAGATAAATGAGCCTTCATTACAGCCATGATAGCACAAAGCAGCACCAGAGAGAGGGATGGAAGAAGAGAAGCTTTCTTTTTTTCATCTCACCCTTCCCTCATTTACCACGACCAAGGTTCTTAACACATAAAGGACACAAAAGGACACAGTACATTTGATAAATATGTGCATTCATAGAGCCTTCACCTATATATACACAAATACCATAAAAAAATGTGCATTTATATTGCTTATTTATGCGCCTTCACATGTATTTACAGTTCTTTAAAGCAAACTTCATCCATAGAGTCTATATAGCAAACACCTACGTGGTAAATGGAATTCTCTGTCAGGACCTATCAAGGAAAAGCTTTGCCTTCACATGGATAACACACTTCTGCAAACATACACACATTTATGTACGCATAACTTTCTCATTCCCACAGCCATGCTGCATGCCAAATGAATACAGTAAAAGCATACCGTTTTAGGTACATTTGGCCCATTTGATGATTGAAAGAGATTTGTAAAATCCAAGATATAAAAAGCCTGTCTCTTTGTTGGCAGACAGTGTAAGGAGAATGTAATTACATTTTTCCTCTCTTGGTTTAACAAATGATGTTCTGCTGTACGAAGGGTACAAAGTTATGAGAGCTGCACAGCACCTGTACGCACATTCAGACACACTTGTACACAGAAAATGTAGCACAACAAACAATGTGATATTACAGCTGCCAGTACAACACAATAGACCTCTGTTTTTTTTTTTTTTTCACACAAAGTAATATCACCACTCATATCCACTCTACATCAGCGCCAATTTTCACTGTGCCAATTTTGAGCTATAGAAATAGAGGAGCAAGCCAGAATTTTAATAACCTCAAGACTAGCAAAAGCCCATGAGAGCGTACGTATATGTGTAAGTAGATAAGTGTGTGCCGGCTGCTGAGTCACGGATCCGTCTGAGCCAGTTCTCAATAGGTCAAAGTCAAGATGTTACCTAAGAAAGACATGATGGGTTGTCAAAAAGGAAAAAGGAAACGAAATAACAGATACTGAATGAGACCATCCTCAAGGCATGCAGACCAAGCCTTTCATTCTCCCTCATGCACCCACAGTACATGTCCCCTTAGGCCTCAAGTTCAGGCTCTGGCTGTTGAACAAACAAATGCACACACAAAAGAGACACAAAAGAAATTACTGATACACTCGACTGGCTCTAAGCCAACCGAGTGACTTGCATATTCTGTCTTGGATATCCCCACCTAGCTGAGTGTACGATGTAGAAATTTAGTGTTAAAAACGTCCAAAATGAGTGATTTAACTTTTTAAAAATGAGCTTGTAGAAGAGGTTTTCTCAACATAGGCTCTGCAGCACTGATCCTGTACTGCTCAGGTGCCGCTGAGCAAACATGACAAAATGAATAAAAGGAAGGTGTAGCCAGAAAGAGAAAAAGCCGCACCACTTGGCTATCCATCATGCAGCATTGCACCTCATGACTGAGGTACAGTCACTCCGCTCAACTAATCTGATATCGGCTCAAAATATTTTCAGCTAAATAGCTTTGTATCTTCTTATCTGGCAACAAGTCCTGTAGTGAGACAATACTCTAATACATTTAATCTTTTCATAATGAACACTCCTACCTATCAGTACCCCAAAAAATAACTAATACTATGATATTACTATACAGAGGTACTAAATTACATTAATTAAAAGACGCACAGATGCTCCCAAATATCTGTGAGAGCATACTTCTCTAGCCTGCAACCTTGAGGCAGCGCCCAGCCCAAAGTGATGGATATTCTGATACAGACGTTTTTCTTGCCAGCCAAGTCCAAGCCAGCGAGAAAAAACACACACACAAACACGTCTGTCATCCTCGCTGAGCAATGGCTGGCACAACATACATCTCCCTCTCTCTCCTGCTCCATCCATCTCCAGTATTCTCCATTTATATTTCCTCTGCTCTCCTCATATCAGCATCTCTATATCTGACTTCTGTAAGGATGTATTCATCTACAACATGTCACAGAAGAATATCTCCCTCTTAATGCTTATCTACTACTCTTACAACTCCTCTCCTGAGCTTTGTACTTCTTACTTAACTTGAACATTTGCACTGAATTTCAGTATGAAAAGGACATGCTGCTGCAAAGAAATAAAGTCTATTTAACTCATATAAGGTATCCTCTGTACTTAGTCACTCACAGCCTCCGAATACAAATTCAAACACAGAGCAGACTCTCTCTTACTCATCCCTTTAAGTGCTGACACACACCTGATGGATCCTCCGCTTAGTCCCGTTCCTCCTCCTCTGCTTTGCCACCACACCACGAAGGTCACTCCCGGCCCACTGTCGCTCTTCCTTCTCCTGTTTTCCTCTCCTCTTACTATCTGTCCTTCTCCTCCTCTCTCTGCTTTGGTCAGAAAGAGAGAGAAGAAAATCCTTCCAGAGACAGGAAATCCTCAGCTAGAGACAGAGACACTTAAAGATTGTAAAGCCTAGCTGCCGCTGAAATACACAGGAGCTGCTGACTGACTGAGCTGTTAAAGTGCTGGAGGGAGGCTAGCGTGGCTACGATACGGTCTGCACCACAGCAGTGTACAGACACATGAGCAGCCAGAAAGCTCAGAGAGTCGCTAGCTCAAAGCTCACCGCAGCAGAGCTCCGAGTCAGCAACCTAGCCCCCCACCCTCCCCTCCCGCCTGGCTCACTCTCGCTCTGCCGCTGCCCCCCTCCTTTCCTCTTGCACAGTTACCACATTCCACCTAATAGCAGAATCCTCTCTTCCTCACTTTCTTCTTTATTTAACTAAAGTATACATCACTCTCATGCCCAGCTCAGGCATTTCCCTTCAATCAGACAAGAAAATCCTGCAGCTGAGATGTAGGTAAAATCTTATCTTCTCACTAATATGTCTTCAAGGCAAGATTGTGTTTGTGAACACAGGATGAAAAGGACACCTTAAAAGCACCAAGAAGAAAGTCAAAAACCTGTTTCTCTCTTTTCTTCTTTCAGCTCCTCCCTTTAGGAGTTATCACAGTCGATCATCTGCCTCCATCGTACCCTATCCCCAGCATCCTCTTCTGTCACACCAATCCTCTCCGTGTCCACCTTTACTAGATCCATGAATTTTTTCCATGAATTGTCTACCTCTTTTCCACCTGTCTGGCTAACTTTGTCTCTGAACTACTCAACCTGAGTTGTCCCTCTGATGTATTAATTTCTCCTCCTCATTCCCAATAAAAATCTTATCACCTTGACCGTTTTGTAAACCCTCCCCTTTCACTGTTGCTATGATCCTTCAGTCAAATGTGTTTAACTATACATTTTGTTTCTTTTTAAAACAGCAACACGCACTTACCAAGCAATCATCTCATGTGAACATGTCTATAAGACTATTTTCACTCTTTTGCTAAAGGTAAAATAAAGATTGAGTTCAAGTTTGGGAGTTTTAGTCACCTCTTCAAGTGATTTTACGCTCTTACTCTGTTCTCTTTTTCTCTACTATAATGATTACTTGTCAGTGAGTGAAATTTTAGTTGGAATAAAAACCTGCAGACTGTGGGCTGTCTATTGATTGTGAAGTTCTCTGTCTGCCTTTAAAGAAATAAAAAGACATTTCATTTAAACTTTGCCAGTAATCCCTTCAAGTTAGTTTTCTTCCAACTACTATTTTGTAAACATGTTCTGAAAATCTCTTCTTACAATTTGCACTTGTGCATTTGTAATGTGGAATGCTGGATCTTCTTCAGTGTGTTGAAACAGCAACCAATCAACTTCACTTTGGGGAAAAGTAAAAAGTTGAGTGGAGCCAAATTTGGCAAGAAGGTCAGATGGTGAGTGACGATTCAATTGGTGCGGCCAATGGAAGCATGTAATGCCACTTTGAGTTAAAAATGCTCCGTCAGAAGTCTCATAACAATACAGTAAACCCTTTGGGCATGAATTCACGGTACATAACCCAGTGCATGTCAAAAATTGATGAGCATGCTTCTGAATGATGTTTCACTAAAATCTTCTGTTTGATCTGACACCAATATCAGCAATAGTCTTAACAGCATTACAGTTGTGTCAAGAAGATGCTGCTAAAAAAGTACTGCCCAAGCAGACTACCTGGAAGAAGAGATCAGCCAGATCTAAATGAGACAAGATTTTTCATTTTATGGGCATACTTGTAGAACTGTATGATCACAGCTATTTGTCCATACCCCTAGCTGATTTCTACCAAATATTTGTTATACAAAGACAGAGATACAGAGATTAAAAAAAACAAAACAGTTCTGTTCAGCTCAGATACTTTTTTTGCTTACCTTTTAACACAAATAAGCAACAAAAAACATATACAGTCAAGAAGACAGCAATGAAAGAGGGACACGGTGGCCCCAGATTAATCTAAATACACACACCACCACCTTCACCCCCACTATTTATCATTTAAAGTATTCATCCTCTCCAAACGTAATGCCCTGACAAAGACAAGCTTATTCAGCCCTCCTTAACACACAGATTAGCCACAGACAGACTACACACACTGAGACCCACATAGTGGAGTGGAAAGAGATGAACACATAAAGAGTGGGAGGGGAAGTCAAGTGGAGCATTGCCCATTGGGGAAAAAAGAGCAATCCAGGAAAAAGAGACTGCAGTCACTGTATCAGAAAGGCTCACTTTGGAGAGGTGTTGGAAAATCAATAATTTACCAAAATTTTGTCTGTTGTTATGACAGACACTAAGCAGTGCAGTATAAAATAATACTGCAATATCTTTTGTTTTTAGAGTCATAATGTCAATTATGACATCATACATTTAACACCATTTCAAGGCAGGAAACACTATTTGAGGCTTTGAGGACACACAGTGACTACAATTTAATTTAAACCTCAAGTGGTAACATTGTGGTATATGACTTCAGTCTTAAGTAAATTAAATGATGGTTTCTTCCTAACTGAAATAGCATTTATTTTGGAAACTAAATGATAGTCGCTCTAGCCAACACAGTGAACACTAATATTTATGCCTAAAAACAGCAATTCTTTAAAACGGACATCTAGACATCACAGAAAAAGTAAGCATGCCATGCTACAAATACTGGCTCGTCTATACATTTGTTCCTTTCCTAACATGTCCCAGCCAAGTTGCACACACATGATTTTTGGACAATTTGGGGAGAATTAGGCCAGAGTATTTTCCACAGCTCTCACATGTTGCACACAGTCGGTCGCACCACTGGGAATACTATGTGCAGTTTAAACAAGGTAGCTGCCTGGGTAGATTGTGCAGGAGGCAGGACACACGGCACCCACTCTCTTAGTCTGAGTGGTGCATTTGGATTATCAGTTGCAATATTCTTCGCAATCTAGCATAACACTGCACTGAACATTTGATCTGTCCCAGGCATCTCTGTGGCATAGGTACTACAGACAGAATGAAAGATGGACACAGACATCATGATGTCAGCCATTGGTTTTGAACTTCAAGCTTCAACCTTATTGTTTTGGAATCCTTTTTACTTTTTGGCATCATGGAGTGCTAAATAACGCTAACTTGGTTGGCAAGCTGCCTTAATCAACTATACAAACAGAAATATGACCTCATTAGTGTTGAGTGACAGACTTATAAATTACTAGATTTAGATATTTCACTCACTAAAACTGCTGCACTTCTTGGACGGTGTAGAGCTCACACTAAGCCATATTATGTACCAGATAATTCCAGATAAAAATGCTCCAAAAGGCACCAACAGCATAAACACAGCAAACAGGTCAAGTTTAATAAGTTAATCGTGGAGGCGAAATCTGGGAGAAGCTGATCAGCTTTAGGTATCTGAATTGGCACACCTATCAATATGGCTATCCCCCTAATTCCAATACCCAGGTGGACTTGTTGTAGTTATAAAAAGTTGTTGTGAAGGGAGAAGCTGCCCATAGAGGCCAAATGAGGCTGTAAATGAGCTTTTTTTTAAATGCTGTACAGTTGGGCATTTTAATTTGGGTGTTTATAGAGATTTGGAGTCAGCCTCAGTTGGCACCTAGAGGAACGGCAGTTTTTGCCACTTAAGCATTAGCTTAATTTTTTAGCTCTGGGGATTCCCCCTTTGGTAAGCACTGCAGCGAGTGTATGAAAGCAGCTTTTTAGTGTGAATATGATAATTAAATAAAATGCAAAACATATTTTTACTAGTATTTTGTTTGGGGTTTTTTAAAACATAATTACTTTTTAAAAGCTTTCCGAGCAAGTGAACAGCACCTCTCATCTGTTGTTGGGCTCACATCCGATTGAGTCTCCATATGAAACACTATAAGCAGGGAAAGCCACTTTTCATGGGAGCAGAGAGAAAATAAAAAACTCATAAAGAGTCCATCCCTGAGCTCTGCCGGCTTGTAGAACAAACAGCTAAAAGGATATGAAATAAAGCCTTCACTCAGCCTTCTCTAAAAATTTCTTCCAGCCCTCTCTACCCTTTCTCTGTCTCTCCATCAGTCTGACTGTGCTTTCAACCCTCACTCTCCTCTCTCATCTGAACAAGGACATTCAGTACATCACCACAAAAAAATGTCATCTCCATCTCCATCTCTACTCACAGCTGTTGCTATGGTCACAGCAATAAACCTGACTGTGCTGCCTCACTCCAAACTGAATGAGTGCTTATATAGGATGTGCTTTTGCCCTTACATGTGTCAAAACTATGAGAATACAAACATGTATGCACCTGCATCGTTCTTCGATGGAAACCAAACTGTTATGAGGAACCACTTGAGCAGTCAATTGACAGCTGTCGAGTGTTGCCATAGGGGCAGATTGATAAGCAAGCGTGTTAACTGGCATTTGACATAGAGGAGATAGATTACGTTTAGGTAATGACTAGCTGAGTGGTATTTAGATGTGGAATGCTGTTCCATCTCCCTGGCACTGTCACATGCTCATTAAGAGCATTAGAGCATGTCATTAACATACACACATACGCTCACTAAAGCGTAACATTAAATAGATTTAATTATTTAAGTTTCTGAGTCTCTGAATAACGACAACAAGCTCACAGTGCATTCAACTTCCAAACAAATGACTCGTCAGTACATTTCTAATTAGTGCAGAGAGGAGGAAAAAGATTGGTATTAACCTGGGCTTACTCATTCTGTGTGTGGAAAAACGTGTGAGCATATGTGTGTGTATTCATTCTCAAGTAATTATATTTCCAGGCAGTGCTGAGCAGAGAAGGGCAGGACTGTGTGTATATTCCATTCGGCTTATCAGACGTGTCCAATCCTGAGGTAGATCAGATCGAACAGTAAAAGCTCATTAATTACGGATGGTTGCTGAGCGACAGAGAAAAAAGGCAGTGAAGGGGGGTGAAGAAGCAAGGTGAGGGGGACAGATGGGTGAGAAAAAGAGGGTAACGTGCAGTACTGGAATGCTGAAGCTGAGATATAATAATTAGAAATCGTGTTCTCATCGTCCTCTGGTTTGACGAGTCAGCAAGAACCGCTTTGGAGATCAAAGGTTAAATGTTGCCAGTCATCTCTGTTGATGGAGGTAGAGACTAAACGCTGTGTGATCCTTTCCCGCATATGAAGGAGGATCACACAGCATACACTTAAAGAATGTCAGATTTCAAGAAAATGTTGTTA